CCTGCTGACGCTTACTGGAAGTTGAAATTTATTATTTCCAGGAAAGCAATTAGAAAGACCCAGTCCCCCCGCCCCGCCCCCCTGTATTCAATGTGGACAATAAGATGAGAGGAAAAAACGTCTGCAGCCCTCCAACTTTATACATCTTCCTACATTGACCCAATAAAATATGAAACTTCCCAAAGTGGCGCTCATATACTTTAGGTAGCACTTTTGCGAAGTCCTTTATGAGTCTATGATAGTGTTAAAGAGTAATTAACGGCTTCCCAAAAAAAAAAAAAAAAAGAAGAATGTAATTTTGTGGTACATCCACAATATTATTACTGTATTACTAACAATACTTGGTTTAGCATTATAATAGAAGACATCAATTAAGGAGTTACCACTATATGAGATTGATTATATACGATTAGTATCAACACTTTCATACTTCTTAATTTGAGTTTGGTTAGGACATTAAATGAGTAACATCCACACAATCTAATTAATGATATATGATTAGCGCATTTGTGAAATCACATAGCGCCACATGATTAGTATCACCACGTTTTCATTAGTATTTCAAAAAAAAAAAAAAAAAGACTGTCACGTGCTCCTTTTCATTAGTAAAAGCTCTTAATGTTATATTTTGTTAGGAATTTTCTTCCTATATTTTAATTGATATCCTAAGTGTTTGATTTATTTTGAATTATGAATGATATTTTAAGGGCAAGATGGGATTAGATATTTGGTTTAATTGTGAGATTTTGTGATCATTTGGTTTTTGAAAAGTTGATTTTGATGAGTACAATCCGGTTTTGGGAAATAATATTTGAAGTTTCCGTGTTGGGATTTTAGAAGATTTTGTGATAACTTTAGTTTAGTTTGTACGTTAAAAGATTTTGTTCTGTCTGAATGATTATGGATTTCTTACATACATTTTTTGTAATAAGATTATCTTATAAGATTAGCATTTGGAATGGGACACTTTTTAAATGGTGGTTATAGACACTGTCTATCTGGAATTTTACATATTATTCCACTATAAGATGTAAAATATGTTTGTTGTACAACTCAAGTTAAAAACTTAAATTGTGCATGTGAAGAAAAAACACTATAATAAAAATGTTAAATTTAAATTTTTATAAAAAAAATATTATAATAATAAAACTTAAGTTGTGAAAATAATAAAACAGTAGAGTTTAGATCCTGCCACCCCAAGTTAAAATAAAAGGCCATAATTGATTGAGTCCCGCATAGAGGAAAACATGATCAACAATACTTATGCTATTTAAAAGGCTTAGTTAAAGCACAAGATAAAAGTGTATAAAGAACTAACTAAATCCCACCAATCTCCACTTTTCGTCGACACCAGTATTACATCTTTATAATTTGGTCTTAAACTCCCTATCATAATCAAAACAGTAAACGCTCACATTTATTATGTTCTCACTAGTAACTCTAATCACACGTGACAGAGTTAAATTATAATGATAAAAACCTTCTCATATGTAGTACAGAGTCTTTATAGCTATAGACAACCGAACCATATTCACCAAACTCCAGCTAGATCCGCCATCACTTTATGACATCTCGCCACTTCTTGGAAACTGATAGCAATTATATTAGAATATTTACTATAATTTGGGTTTTGTTAGCTACTTTGTTTCTTCCATCAAGGTTGTTTAATGGAATTCTTGGAGAAAAGAAATCTGGGTATGGTTCTTTAGGAAGAAGAATGACAACTTTTTAACCTTTTTTTCACTTTAATTTTACAGTTAACTCTGGGAAAGTAAAAAATTCCAGAGGTTCCTCATGAAAACGTCACATTATGTGAGTAATATATGGTTTATTCCATTAAAAATCTTACGACTGTTTGTCAAATGGGACTAATTGCAAAATTAATCAAGTTGAGTGGGTAACTTGTCAAAATTAAAAGTTTGAGGGGAAGACAATTTGCTAAACCTCAAAAAGTTTAAAGGACAATTGTGCTAAAAAGAGCATAAATTTTTATAAATAAAATAGGTATATTTACAATTTTATACCTTACAGTTTTAGTTCATCAAAAGAACCCTCTATTATGGATGTTTCTAAAAAAATTACCCCTTATAAATTTCAAATCCACATGAAATTTGCATCTTTTCTAGGTTGACATCTGATTTTGATCTTGAATTAATAAACTTACCCTTTGTAACTTATAAATAAATTTGTAATGAAACACCAATCGACAAATTGAAACACTAACAGGCAAATTACCTTTATAACCAGCTTGAAAATACTATTTTTGTATTTTTTCTTTTTTTTTTCCATTCATTGTTGTAAGATAAAGATTTAAATGTCCCTCAAAAGTAAGTAAATAGATCCGAAACATATAAAATACAGTTAATCCCGCTGTGAAAAAAGCTATTATTGCAAAAATTAGTGAATACAACCAACTATCATTAAGAATTTCATCTTTACCGATAAATTGCATAGGCTAAAATTTTCATTTATAAGGTCAAACTCAATAATTGACCCTGAAAAGGTATAAAGCTGACATGAATCTAAAATTCAAAGGTATAATCTTGAGAACATTCAAAATGTAAGGGTATTTTTTTTATAAACTCAAAATTCAAGAGCTAAAATGAAAAATAAACCGAAAATAAACATGAGAAAAAATTGCCCACAATTTTTTCCACTGTTGTGTATTTTAACAATTTTTCCAGTTTCATGAATTGAGAAAAGCAACACCATATACATTGCATGACTTGTAATAGCAGAACTCGCGTCTTCCACTCAAATTTTTGCTACTCTCATTTGTGCAACAATATATATTGGTAAAATTTTAGAAAATGCCACAGTAATGCCTATTGTTTGAGAACGCGTTAGGTGATCGGAGGACCCAGTCATTTACCACAAACAAGGACTGGCCACTGCTGAATTAAAGTTCCCACATAATTAATTGACTCCTTCAATCTCTCTCACATTGCATAATGTAAAGTTTAGTATTTTAAGGACTAAGAGATTGAAGTCTTAAGTCAGCTAATCAAATGCATTAATTAACAGGCTGCGTTAATGTACAGTTGATCAATCTCAATTAAATGAGTCAACATACTTGGTTTATTGTACACGGGAAAAAATTTAAGAAATCATACCACTCTCGCAGAGTACTAGAGAATATATACATTGCGATTTCTCCAACAAACAAATAAAGCAATTATTCCTAAGCTAGCCGGCCTTAAGCCGTGGACATGTTGGAGAGCCGACTAAGGGTCGGCCTAAAACTCCACCACCGAAGCGTAAAGCGGCGTTTCGGCGGCGTTAGTGCCCTCTTTATCAATACCTCCACGGCCCTAGGCGCCGCGTATCCATATCGATGACGGCATTGGACTGACCGAGTTGATGCAGGGACTTGGTTCTTAGTAGAGAACGTCGGTAGAAGACGAGAGCTTGAAGCTGATGATGATGAAACGGTGGAATTGTTGATTTTGTGCCTTACAAGACCATGTTGTCTTCTCTGATCAATCTTGGCTCCATCGCCGAGCAAAGGCCTTGCCGGAACATGAAGTTTTTCCACAATTTGTTTCCGAGTCATTCTTTGCATATTGTCAGAAGACCAGCTTGAAATGTTTGTAGTGTTTTGTGAATTGTAGAGATCAGTGGTGTTTTGTCACAGCTGGTTTGGCATTTGGGATGACTAACGTTGTTTTATACAAGATGTTACATGACACAATGTATGATTCAGAAATGTCGTGCGTGGACTTCTAAAGCCATTGACCGATATTTGAATACTCGGTTATGGAAACTAGACGCGGCGTTTGACCAGGACACTCAAAAGGGCCCCCGGCCCGCGTAGTGAGCACAGGGGCCGGAATGGATAAATTTTTTTTTTTTATTTATATTCTGCATTTTAAAATTAATATATGATTTTTATGAATTAATACAGCAAGTGGTACCATTCTTTGATAAATATTTTGTATTTTATGATTTTCTTGATTTTTAGTCTTTGAAAAATAATATAAAGTAGAAACGATGTCAAAAACTTATGAAATTTTGCATAAACGATCCTTATATTTTTCTGGACATGTCTTTAAAAAATGACCTCAAAAAATGACAAAAAAGCTAAAACACTGTCAAAAAGCTCATGGCCCGCGTAATGGGGTGCCCAGGGACCGGGATTGGTCAAAAATTTACATTTTTAGTTATGTTTTACATTATAAAATTAATATACGATTTTTAGGAATTAATGCAACAAGTGGTACCAGTTTTTGATGAATATTCTTTTTTACGATTTTCTTTATTTTTTGTCTTTGAAAAATAAAATAAAATAAAAACGACGTCAAAAACTTATGAAATTTTACAAACACGATCCTTACATTTTTCTGATCATGTCTGCAAAAAATGGCCTCCAAAAAAGTAAAAAGTTGTCAAAAGGGCCCCCGACCTGCGTAGTGGGGCGCCCAGGGGCCGGGATGAGTCAAAATTTTATATTTTTATTTATGTTTTGTATTCTAATATTAATATATAATTTTTAGGAATTAATGAAACAAGCGGTACCATTTTTTTGATGAATATTCTATTTTTTATGCTTTTCTTTATTTTTCATCTTTGAAAAAAAAATATAAAATAGAAACGATGTCATAAACATACGAAATTTTACAGACACGATCCTTACATTTTTCTGGACATGTTTGCAAAAAAATGGCCTCAAACAATGAAAAAAAAGTAAAACACTATCAAAAAGCCCCCGGACCGCGTAGTCGGGCGCCTAGGGGCCGGGATGGGCCAAAACTTTAAATTTTTATTTATCTTTGCATTCTAAAATTAATATACGATTTTTAGGAATTAATGCAACAAGCAGTACAAGTTTTTGATGAATATTCTATTTTTTATGATTTTCTTCAACTTTTCTTTAAAAAATAAAATAAAATAAAAACGACTTCAAAAACTGATGACATTTTACAGACACGATCCTTACATTTTTCTGGGCATCTCTTTAAAAACTGGCCTCAAAAAATGACAAAAAAAGTAAAACATTGTCAAAAGGGACCCCGACCCGCACAGTGGGGCGCCCAGGGGCCGGGATAGATCAACAATTTACATTTTTATTTATGATATGCATTCCAAAATTAATATATGATTTTTTAGGAATTAATGCAACAAGCGGTACCAGTTTTTGATGAATATTTTATTTTTTATAATTTTCTCTATTTTTTGTCTTTAAAAAATAAAATAAAATAAAAATGACGTCAAAAACTTATGAAATGTTACAGACACGATCCTTACATTTTTCTGGGCATGTCTGCAAAAAATGGCCTCAAAAAATGACAAAAAAGTAAAACGGTGTCAAAAGGGCCCCTAACCCGTGTAGTGGGGCGCCCGACCCGTGTAGTGGGGCGCCCAGGGGCCGGGATAGATCAACAATTTACATTTTTATTTATGTTTTGCATTCTAAGATTAATATATGATTTTTAGGAATTAATGCAACAAGCAGTACTATTTTTTGATGAATATTCTATTTTTTATGGTTTTCTTTATTTTTATTCTTTGAAAAATAATATAAAATAGAAACGACTTCAAAAACTTATGAAATTTTGCAGACATGATCCTTACATTTTTCTGGGCATGTCTTTAAAAAATACCCACAAAAAATGATAAAAAAAGGTAAAACGCTGTTAAAAAGCCCCCGGCCCGCGTAGTAGGGCACCTAGGGGCCGGGCTGGGTAAAAAATTTATAATTTTATTTATGTTTTGCATTCAACAATTAATATACGATTTTAGGAATTAATGCAATAAGTGGTACCAGTTTTTGATGAATATTCTATTTTTTATAATTTTTTTATTTTTTATATTTGAAAAATAAAATAAAATAAAAACGATGTCAAAAACTTATGAAATTTTTGCAGTTATGATCCTTACATTTTTCTGGGCATATGTAAAAAAATGGCCTAAAAAATGACAAAAAAGTAAAACGCTCTCAAAAGGGCACCCGGCTCGCGTAGTGCGGTGTCCAGGGGCGGAGATAGGTCAAAAATTTACATTTTTACTTATATTTTGTATTATAAAATTAATATATGATTTTTTAGAATTAATGCAACAAGCGGTACCATTTTCTGAATAATATTATATTTTTTATGATTTTTTTCGTCATTGAAAAATAATCTGAAATAGAAATGATGTCAAAAACTTATGAAATTTTATAGACACGATCCTTACATTTTTCTGGGCATGTCTTTAAAAAATTGCCTAAAAAAGTGACAAAAAAGTAACGCAGTCAAAAAGCCTCCGACCCGCGTAGTGGGGTGCCCAGGAGTTGGGATGGGTCAAAAATTTACATTTTTATTTATGTTTTGCATTCTAAAACTAATATACGATTTTTTAGGAATTAATGCAACAAGCGGTACCAGTTTTTGATTAATATTCTATTTTTATGATTTTCTTTATTTTTTGTCTTTGAAAAATAAAATAAAATAAAAGGATGTAAAAAACTTATGAAATTTGGCAGTTATGATCCTTACAATTTTCTGGGCGTGTCTTAAAAAAATGGCCTCAAAAAATGACAAAGAAAGGAAAACGCTCTCAAAAGGGCCCCCGGCCCGCGTAGTGCGGTGGACAGGGGCCGAGATAGGTCAAGAATTTACATTTTTACTTATGTTTTGTATTCTAAAATTAATATATGATTTTTAGGAATTAATGCAACAAGCGGTACTATTTTTTGAAAAATATTCTATTTTTTATGATATTTTTCGTCTTTGAAAAATAATCTAAAATAGAAACGATGTCAAAAACTTATGAAATTTTGCAGGAACGATCCTTACATATTTCTGGGCATGTCTTTAAAAAATGGCCTCAAGAAGTGACAAAAAAGTAACGCAGTAAAAAAGCCCCCAGCCCGCGTAATGGGGCACCCAGGGTCCGAGATGGGTAAAAAATTTATATTTTTATTTATGTTTTGCATTCTAAAACTAATATACGATTTTTAGAAATTAATGCAACAAGCGGTACCAGTTTTTGTTGAATATTCTTTTTTTTATGATTTTCTTTATTTTTTATCTTTGAAAAATAAAATAAAATAAAAATGACGTAAAAAAGTTATGAAATTTTGCAGTTATGATCCTTACATTTTTTGGGCGTGTCTTAAAAAAATGGCCTCAAAAAATGACAAAAAAAGTAAAATGCTCTTAAAATGGCCCCCAGCCCGTGTAGTGCGGAGCCCGGGGGCCGAGATAGGTCAAAAATTTACATTTTTACTTATGTTTTGTACTCTAAAATTAATATATGATATTTAGGAATTAAAGCAACAAGCGGTACCATTTTTTGATGAATGCTCTATTTTTTATGATTTTTTTCGTCTTTGAAAAATAATCTAAAATAGAAACGATGTAAAAAACTTATGAAATTTTACGGACACGATCCTTACATTTTTCTGGGCATGTCTGCAAAAAATGGCCAAAAACATAGGAAAAAAAGTAAAACGATGTCAAAAAGCTCTCGTACCGCATAGTGGGGCGCCAAAACTTTATATTTTCATTTATGTTTTACATTTTAAAGTTCATATATGATTTTTACGAATTAATGCAACAAGCGACACCATTTTTTGATGAATATTCTATTTTTTATGATTTTCTTTCTTTTTCATCTTGAAAAAATATAATAAAATAAAAAAGACGTAAAAAAATAATGAAATTTTGCAGACACGATCCTTACATTTTTCTGGACATGTCTGCAAAAAATGATAAAAAAAAAGGTAAGACGCTGTCAAAAAGCCACCGGCCCGCGTAGTGGGGTGCCCAAGGGGCGGGATGGGTAAAAAATTTCCATTTCTATTTATGTTCTACATTCTAAAATTAATATATGATTTTTAGGAATTAATGCGACAAGCGGTTCCAGTTTTTGATGAATATTCTATTTTTTTATCTTTTTCTTTATTTTTTTGTCTTTCAAAAATAAAATAAAATAAAAAACAATGTCAAAAACCTATGAAATTTTGCAAACATGATCCTTACATTTTTTTGGGCATGTCTGTAGAAAATGGCCTCAAAAAATGACAAAAAATGTAAAGGGCTGTTAAAAGGGCGCCCGGCCTGCGTAGTGGGGCTCCCAGTGGCCGGGATGGGTCAAAAATTTATATTTTTATTTATGTTTTGTATTCTAATATTAATTTATGATCTTTAGGAATTAAGGCAACAAGCGGTACCATTTTTTGATAAAAATTCTATCTTACATGACTTTTTTTATTTTTATTTTTCATCTTTGAAAAATAATATAAAATAGAAACGACGTCAAAAACTTCTGAAATTTTGCTGACATGATCCGTACATTTTTCTGGACATGTCTACAAAAAAAGGGCTCAACCAATGACAAAAAGAAGTAAAACACTGACAAAAAATAGTAAAACACCGCAAAAAAGCACCCGGACCGCATAGTGGCGCGCCCAGGGGCTGGGATTGGTCAAAACTTTATATTTTTATTTATATTTTGCACTCTAAAATTAATAAATAATTTTTAGGAACTAATCCAACCAGCGGTACCAGTTTTTATTGAATATTCTATTTTTTATGAGTTTCTTTATTTTTTGTGCTTGAAAAATAAAAT